GATTGCCCTGCCACAGAGACAGGAGGGATGGGGGGATGGGGGTGGGAGGGATATTATCCATGGTGGTGGAAAATGGGCACTGGTGGAGGGATGGGTATCTGATCATTGTATAATCGAAACCCAAGCACAAAAAATTGTAAATCTACAACTGTAAAAAAAAATAAAATAAAATAAAGGGAAAAAAAAAACAAAGAAAAGGTTCAATCTCCAGTACCCCATATGGCCTCCTGGAAATCAGCAGGAGTACGCCCTGAGCACTGCTAGGTGTGGCCCACAACCTAAATATATGAGACACAACCATTATATAATGCTTTCCCCCCAAAAAATTGGGGCTGGTGGATGTGTGGTATAGCCATATATCAAAACACAGACTCAACAGCATTGGAAACATGAGATCTAAGCTGCAAACACTGGCCTGTCAAGTTGACAGGCAGGGATTGCGTGGGGGTTGCAGTGCGGAGGAAATATGGGAACACTGGTGGAGGGAAGTTGACACTGGTGGTGGGATTGGTGTTGAAACATTATATGCTTCACACTCAACTATCAATAACTTTGTAAATAACAGTTCTTTTTTAAGGTAAAAGGTAAGGTAAAAAAGGTAAAGGCCCTCCCGTTGATCGTCGATTTGCTCAAGCAGGCCCAGTAACGTCTCCATTGGAGACTTTGTTGTTACTGTGTCTGGCATATCGAATACGTCACGGGGAGCTTGCCAGGCTCTGCCGTGCGGGCGAGATACTCTCGGTAGCTTGCGGGGCTCTCCGAGAGGGGCGGAGGAATCGAACTCGGGTCGGCCATCTTGGCCGCTTTGTAAGGCGAACGCCCTACCGCTGTGCTATCGCTCCAGCCCTCTCAGAGAGCCCGGCAAGCTACCAAGAGTATTCGATATGCCAAACACAGTAACAACAAAGTCTCCAATGGAGACGATACTGGGCCCGCTTGAGCAAATCGACGATCAACGGGAGGGCCTTTACCTTTACCTTTACCTTTACCTTTTTTAAAAAAAAAAAAAACAATAAAAAATGGGCGCTGAGATTAAAAACACAGGATATAGGGCTGGAGTGATAGCACAGCTGGTAAGGTATTTGCCTTGCATGAGGCTGATCTGGGTTCAGTTCCTGGCATTCATTCCATACGGTTCCCTGAGCACTACAAGAAGTAAATCCTGGGTGCAGAAGCATGAGTATCCTCTGAGCCGCTCCAGGTGTGGCCCCCAAAAGCAAAAAAAAAAAACTCACAACCAGAAAACACCCCAAAATCCACAGGATGCAGATGATTATGTGGTGAAACACAGCATCTCTCACCTAATTGAGCGTTCTTTCCTCTTCCTTGAGTCCATTCCATTATGTGTCTTCCTCATTCTATTTCTAGAGGAATGCCATAAACTTTTCTGCATCTGGGTCTTTGTTTTGGATTTTGTCTGGAAAGCACTTCTCCCAAATTTCTGCTTAATTAACATGCCCCCGTGCCTTACGTTGCTTTATTCGTTATTAGTATAGTGCTTTCTTTTCTTTTCTTTTTTCTTTTTTTGCTTTTTGGGTCATACCTGGCGATGCACAGGGGTTACTCCTGGCTCATGCACTCAGGAATTACTCCTGGCGGTGCTCAGTGGCCCATATGGGACGCTGGGAATTGAACTCAGGTCAGCCGCATGCAAAGCAAATGCCCTACCCACTGTGCTATTGCTCCGGCCCCACCCCTACCCAGTTAAAAAAGTTAGGAAGGACCTCGGTGCCAGAGTGATAGTGCAGTGGACAGGGCACTTCCTTTCTTGCAGCCAACCTGGGTTCAACCCACAGCACCCCATAGGGTCCCTTGAGTCCTACCAGTCCTAAGTAGAGTCGAGTAAGCCCTGAGCAACACCAGGTGTGGTCCCCAAACCAAACTTAGACAAGAGAGGGCTAGATACATAGTTCAGTGGGTAGGGCATTTGCCTTGCATGCAACTGACCTAGGTTCAATCTCTGGCATCCCATGTGGTCCTCTGAGCACTGCCAGGAGTAATTCCTGAGTGTAGAGCCAGGAGTAACTCCTCAGCACTGCTGACCAAAATATGAAAAACAAAACCAAGAAAGAAAACAAGCATTATGGGGCTGGAGCAATAGCACAGTGGGTAGGGTGTTTGCCTTGCACGTGGCCAACCCGGGTTCGATTCCCAGCATCCCATATGGTCCCCTGAGCACAGCCAGGAGTAATTCCTGGGTGCAGAGTCAGGAGTAACCCCTGTGCATCACCGGGTGTGACCCAAAAAGCAAAAAAAAAAAAACAACAAAACCTCAAAAACCAAATATTGACTAGAGTTCTTGAACTTGAATTCAAGGTTTTGGCTCCAGTCTTGTTGTTGAATGCCGTCTGGTTGTACATTACTCTATTACTCAGTGCCAAACATTAGGCATTCACAAAATAAATGGGAAGCTAGGTGAATAGATTAACTTTAATTGGGCGTCCCCGGCTCTATTAGAGCCTTGGGAAACACAGAGAGCTTCACATGAGTTATGAAACACCGGGTCTCATGTAACCTCTTTGAGTACCTATGAAGTACTAAAAAAGGAAAAAGGGCATCTAGATTCTCCAAAACACTGCCCCCCCCCCCAAAACCATTGTTGTTGCAATACAACAATGGAAGGGAAGGGAAAAAGAAAATAAGTGGGGTTTTGAAAAATGGGGTGGGGGATTCTAGGGGACAGAACTCAAAGGGAAGATGCAGGAGGAACTAGGAAAAGAGGAAGTCTCAGTTTCCTCTTGCTAGCTGCTGTGAGCTGAGGACATTTCAGCTGTCCTCATTCCGTATATTATTTTATGTTTTGTGTTTTGTGCCATATCCAGTGATGCTCAGGGCTTATTCCTGGCACAATGCTCAGGAAGCACTCCTGGCGGAAAACAGAGGACCCTATATGGTGCTGGGGATTGAACACAGGTTGATTGTATTCAAGGTAAGCACGTTCCCTGCTATACAATTGCACCTGCTCCATCCTGTCTCAAGTTTTTAACTTTTTGTTTTGCTTTTTGGGTCACACCTGGTGATGCACAGGGGTTCCTCCTGGCTCTGCAATTCCTGAGGGAATTACTCCTGGCGGTGCTCAGGGACCATATGGGATGCTGGGAATCGAACCCGGGTCGGCCGCGTGCAAGGCAAACGCCCTACCCGCTGTGGTATCTCTCCAGCCCCATGTTTTTTACTTTTCAGTAAACTTTTTTTTACCAACTTTTGAGTCTGAGAATCTTTATTATTCAATATTTTCACTCTTGGAAATATTGAAGATAACAAAACTGAAAAACATGAAATCTAAGTTGCAACCACTGAAGCTTTGTAATGTGTCGGTCAAGTGAACAGGCAGGACCAGAGTGGGGGTTAGGGTGGGGAGGGAATCTGGCAACACTGGTGGAGGGAAGTTGATGCTGGTGGTGGGACTGGTACTGAAATAGTATATGTCCAAAACTCAACTGTCAGTAACTTTGTAAATCATGGCTCCTTAATAATTTTTTTTCTTTTTGGGTCACACCCGGCGATGCTCAGGGTATACTCCTGGCTCTGAATTCAAGAATCACTCCTGGTGGTACTCGAGGGACCATATGGGATGCTGGGAATTGAACCCGGGTCGGCCATGGGCAAGGCAAATGCCCTATCCGCCAGGAGTATCCCGAGCATCACTGGGTGTGACCCAAAAAGCAAAAAGAAAAAGAAAAAAAGAAAATATTGAACACGGACTGGAGAGAGCACAGTGGGTATGGCACTTGCCTTGGATGTGGCAGGCTTGGGTACAATCCCAAGAACCTCATAGAGTCCCCAGAGTCCTGCAAGGAGTAAGCCCTGAGCATAGCCAAATGTGGCCAAAACACTCTCCTTCCCTCTGCCACAAAATAGAAAATATTGAAAAATATGGACTAACACAGAAACACGCAGTCACCCCCCACCCCGCATCACTAGTTCATCCCCAGCACCACATGGCCTTTAGGCCAAAGCTACAGAGAACCTGGGTTCCCCCCTCCCCAAATACACCTTAGGGAGATAGCTCAGGGGTCAGAAGTACATGCCTTGCATGCTCAAGGGCACGAGTTGGATCCCAGGCACTCTATGGCATACCTGGGTACAGCCCCGAAGGCCCCCTGAATTGATCCCTCACAGCAAGTATTGTGGAGATGGCTCTGGTGCAGTCAGGGTAGTATAAGTGGCTGGGCTGGAGCATGAGCCATGGAGTCAGGTCGGCTGAGTATGGTCAGGAGTGGTCCTCAAGATCCCCTGAGCACTTACTTAGAGTCATCCTCCATACTTTAGGCACCTGCCCTCTACAAATTTACAAGTTCTATCAAGAAGTATGATGGCCCACAGCGTGGCTGCTAGCCACATCCCAAGTGTTTCATGGCCACACTAAGTCCCCAGGGTTCCCACTGTGCATAGCACAGGCACGCACAACCCATCTGTTGGCACCTAAAGGGGTACTTCAGAAAGAACACAGTGTACCCTGCATGCCAGTTCCCTGAGGCTCACCCCAATTCTACCACCCACCACTCCAAGCCCCCTGGGCTGGGCTCTATCTTGCAATGGTTTCTGCTAGCAAATGAGCTAGTGCACCAAAGGGTTTCTGTCAATCTTGCAGTGAGACACAAATAGGACAGAATAAACAGGTTCATTTATTGTTTTTTTCATAGCTTTGGTTATTTCAAATTCTAACTGCCTCCATCTATGGCACAATTGCCCTAATGTTCTTAAGAAGTATGTCACTAACAAGCAGTGTGTATGTCAGGTATAAAAAAATGCAGATTATGGGGCTGAAGCCGCATAGAACCCGGACCCAGACATGCAAGAGATACAGGTTGGATTTCCTAGGGTCCAATCACTTAGAACTCTGAGCAACTCCTGGAGTGACCCAGGGGTGTGTATCAAATACACAAGCTAACAAAAACCCAGATTGTATCTACCTTGAAGCTTTTACTTAGGACCCTAAGTGATGCCTTGACTCTTCCTGTCACTTTCGGGACAAAGGAAGACTACACATTGAGATGAGCAAAGCCAGGGTTTATTCTGAGAGCTGAGAATTCAGAGATACCTAAGTAAGCAGGATCGGACCCTCATCAGGGTCTTCCTGCTGGTCGGGAGCGTCCCCTTCTTGCGGAGCTCGACATTTCTCCAGTTTGGCCATCAAATCTTTGGCCGGATTGAAGACGCCATTGGTCTGCTGGTCGCACACATAGCAGCGCGGGGTGGTGCGGTAATGCTGCAGCGCGCAGCTCTCGCAGAAATAATGCCGGCACTTGGTGACCACAGGGTTCTGGAAGGTCTGGCGACAGATGAAGCACTTGAATGGTATTTCCTCATCATCGCTTCCCACTTCATAGTTTTCGTCCTCATAGATGCCGTAGCGACCCTCATCCAGCTCACGTTCGATCTGCCAGCCGTGCTTGTAATCTGAGCGATCATGGAGAAATTTGCAGCTGTCGCCAAAGCCGCAGAAGCCTGTCTCTTTGTAGTCCTTGCAAATGTCGGGCTGGTAATCCCAGCGCACAGTGGCGCGTAGATGCTCCGGGGCGCGGATGGGGCCCTTCCGCACCATGCCCGAAGACGCGTTGCCCATCGACGTATCTTTGGGCTTCATGAATTTCTGATAATTGTTGATTCCCCGGTAGATCTTGTCATCTTCCTTGCCACGCAGTTCCTCCTGGATCTTTTGGCTGCGCTCGAAGATAGCCTGGGCGTCACGCTCCTTTTCGGTGTCCAGCTCGTAGACCGCCGTGGCACCCATATCTTCTGGCCCGACGGGTTTCGCCGAACGGGTGGACTTATAGATTACTCCCAGACTTTCAGGCTCCTTCTCATCCTCCTCATCGCTACTCAAGTTACTGTAAGCAGCCTTCTGTTTGCCGCTGCCTCGCGTCTTTTGGATCATCGGATTGTGAATCGTCCGCTTCTTCTCCGGGCGGACCACAGTGCTGCCTTCATCACCGCTGCTGCTGCTGCCTCCGGACTCAGGGTCGCATGCCCGGCGCTTCCTGCGTCCAGCGGCTCCTTTTCGCCCAGGCTTTTTGAAAAGGAAAGTGCAGACTTGATCTGCATTCTTTCCGGGGGAAAGTTGTTCAGCCATTTTCAAGTCCCGAGCGGCTAAGAGGGCCGGGCTGTACAGGGTATTGTCGGTGGCGGCAGGGGTCCTGCTGCGAGAAACTTTTAAGTTGCGCGCGCACCCTGGAATTTGGAGCCCTGCAAGCAAAGGAACCGCGAGGGCGCGGGCGCAAGCGTGAGCGCGCGGGCAGCAAGAGCGGATCAATTTGGGTCTCACCAGCTCCCGTAGCTTCCTCTGCGAAATGACGCGAGACGTCTCGCGTGAGCAAGCGGCCTCGGCGCTTACCCAGAAGGCGTTGCGGCCCGGTCACCTTTAAGGGATCTGGCAGCTACGGTTCGGCCTAGGTCGCCGCCGCGATGTGGTTCGAGATTCTTCCCGGAGTCGCCGTCATGGGTGTGTGCATACTCATCCCTGGCGTGGCCACGGCATTCATTCATAGATTCTCCAATGGAGGCAAGGTACGGCGGCTTCTCCGGTTCCGTGTGTGTGTGTGTGTGTGTGTCAGGGGGAGGGAGGAGGGGGGCGGGCCGAGCAGCAGAGGGTTTTTGGAACCCCGAGTCTCCGGTAGCGGGAAAATAACCGAGTCAGCCGGTCATTTTTTGGTTGCCTAAAACCAAGGCTTGCTGGTTGAAACCGTACAGAAACCGTTACAGAAACGTTGACAAGGACCAGTTACCAGGGACGGGAGTGTGTGTGGACAGTGGGCAAACAGATTAACGGTTGCAAAAGAGTGGGTGCTCTTCCCAAAAGGAGAGAGAGAACAAATGCCCTGCCACAGAGACAGGGTGGGATGGGGGCTGGGAGGGATACTGGGACTGGTGGTGGTGGAGAATGGGCACTGGTGGAGGGATGGGTACTCGATCACTGTATAATTGAAACCCAAGCACAAAAATTTGTAAGTCTACAACTGTACCTCATGGTGTTTCACTAATAAAAATTAAAAATAAAATAAAAGAGTGGGTGCTCCAAACTGCTAGGCAACTGCTGCCTACACTCCCTTTGAGTTCTCATCTCTTCTCCTGCTGGATTTTACTTGCTCTCCTCTACGTTTTGGAATTTTCCGCGTTTCGTTCTTTCCACTCTTCATTAGGATTTTCCCCTTGGTATCCCCCACTGCAGTGCCCTCGCACCCCTGCTTTCTTTCCCGCCTTGGGAATTTATCACCAGTTCCTGTTCTTTTTTCCTTTTCCACAGTAAGATTGTAATTTTCCCTCCTTTCTAATTTTTCACTTCATATCTAAAGTTCAAAAATTATGAATTTGCTTTTTGGTTTCTGATTGTCCTTCACATTAACTAACCTCTGCTGACTCTTCTCATGAGGCTTCTCAAAAGAAAAAGTAGATATATCTTTAAAATAGTTTTAATGGCCTAAATGAGAAGAAGATTAAACAAGGATGCTGGTTAAAATAGAATAGGCACAAGGCATGGTTTCTTTATTAATCCTAATATTTAATCGTTTGGGGGCCAGAAACAGTGCAGGTGGTAGAGTGTTTGCCTTGCACACAGTTGACTCGGGTTGGTAGAGTGTTTACCTTGCACGCAGTTGACTTGGGTTCTATTCCCAGCATCCCATGTGTTCTCCTGAGAACCACCAGGAGTAACCCCTGAGCATCGCTGCATGTTACCCAAAAAGTTAAAAAAAAATAATGATCTGAATCTTGTTTTCTTTTCTTTATTTTTGTTTTGGGGCCACATCAGCCATGCTCAGGGCTTACTTCTGACTTTGTGCTCATGGATTACTCCTGGCAAGCTTGGGATGTTGGTGATCTAACCCAGATCTAACCCTGGCTTGCCACATGCAAGGCAAGCACCTTACCTGCTGTACTTTTCAGGTGCCAGAGTAGTTTTGTTTTTAACATATTTACATAATAGAAGTCTTTCTCTTTTGGGGCGCTCATCTTTGTAAACTCAATCCTTATTAGTCTTTTAATTATAGGAAAAAAGAATTGCCCATTATCCTTACCAGTGGTGCTTGATGGAAAGAGATAGGCGTGTTTCTGGAGTAAACCGCTACTACGTTTCGAAGGTAAGCTGATACCCCATGCCACAAACCCACTAGCCACTGTAAGGGGCCTGAGTATTCAGGTAATATTTTGCCAAAGATCTAACAGTACTCATTAGTTGACATTTTTTTTTCTGACTTTGGGGGCCACAGCCAGCTGTCATTAGGACTCTCTCCTGGTGGGGCTGAGAGACCCCCTTTTGGTTCTTGGGACTGAACCAGGTTGCCTGCATAAAAGACAAGTGCTTTACAACTGCTGCCATGTAAGCTAACTTTCCAGTTAAAAGTTCTGGAGTTTCTGGAACTTGCAGCTACATTTGAAACCTTGTAGCATCTCCAAAGTCTACAATACTGACATCCCAGTGTAAGCACACCAAATTAGATGGGAGAGTAGTATAGAAGCCCACTAAGCTCAATACATAAAAACATTGATACAGAAGACTCAACTTCAGCAGCTTAATAAACCCTTAGACAAGGACTTAATGTCCTCAGGGCGAGTTGTAATAATTTTTACAAATTGTCTTTTACTGAAGGTTTTTTCCCCCTGTTTTTTCTTTTTGTTTGATTCTGGGCCACACTTGATGATGCTCAAAGTTTATTTCTGACTTTGTACCCAGGAATTACTCCTGGTGTTTCTCAGGGCGCTGTATGGGATGCCGGGGATAGAACCTGACTTGGCTGCTTGCAAGGCAAACACCCGACCCATTGTACTCTCTGGCCCCAGAAGTATTTTTGATAATTCCATTAGCTGTTGAGTTGTAACAGGCAGTATAAAATAAATTATTTGGGCCTGCTAAGGGGTGGTTCAGATACTGAGGATTGTGGTGGAAGGAACTGGTGGTAACAAATGCATCATGAACAACTTTGTAAACCATGGTGTTTAAATAAAGTGGGAAAAAGACAAGTGCTTTAACTGCTGCACTCTCCCTGGACTCTAGTTCACGTATTCTTGTCTCCTACTGAGAATGGGCACCCGTTACATATTTTTTTTAATTTTTTTAATTAATTAAAAAAATTTATTAGTGAAACACCATGAGGTACAGTTGTAGACTTACAAATTTTTGTGCTTGGGTTTCAGTTATATAATGATCGAGTACCCATCCCTCCACCAGTGCCCATTTTCCACCACCACTGATCCCAGTATCCTTCCCACCTACCCCCATCCCTCCCATTCCCCTTTCCTCTGTGGCAGGGCATTCCCTTTTGTTCTCTCCCATTACATATTTACTGGTCATTTTTTTGCTTTGTTTTAGAACCTTTTAACTTGATATTTAGTAAAATGGGTACAATGGTGTTAACTTCAATGGTTTTGATGAAAAAGTTACTATACCAAATTGCCCAAGACCATCCCCAACTGTCTCTCTGTTATCCCTAGTCCTCCCCCATTATTCCTCTCTCCACTTCTTGGTATTTATTTCATAACATTTTTTCCATTTAAAACATTGTAAAAATGTTTTTAGAAAAAGGTGGGAGAGGCGGTTGGAGAGGGCACGGTGGGTAGGGCACTTAGCTTGCATGTGGCCAACTAAGTTTCGATCCTCCGACATCCCATGTGGTCCCCTGAGTGATCTCTGAGCACTTCTGGGAGGCCCAAAAACCAAACAAAAAATTAGCTTCATTTATAGAACTGATTAACTCGTTTTTTTATTTTGGGGGGCATCCAGCTGTACTCAGGGTTTACTCCTGGCACTGTGCTCAGGGATCACTGGTAGGACTTGGGGGCTCATATAGGGTGTTGGGGATTAAACCCACATCTGCTGAATGCAAGGCAAGTACCCTATCTATTGTACTATCTCTCCAGCCCCATAGAACAGCCTATTTTAAAATTTGAAACAGCACTAAGTTTAGTCTAGCAGTAAAATAAATTTCCATATACACACGAGGACTATCTGATGAATATGTTCTGCTGTATTACATAGGTTTGCCAGTTCCTTCACCATTACCATATGGAAGGTATCCCTATAATTTTGTATTTGAAATTACTATTCTCAGACATTAATAATGACAAGTAGCTGGGCTGCAGAGATAGGATAGCAGGTAGGGTGCTTGCCTTGCACAGGTTCGATCCTTGGCATCCCATACAGTTCCCCAAGCACTGCCAGGAGTAATTTCTGAGTACAGAGCCATGAGTACCACCTGAGCATTGCCAGTGTGGCAACCCCAAACAAAAAAGTCCAGGTAGCATTCTTTTTTTGGGGGGGGGGTCACACCCGGTGGCACTCTAGGGTTACTTTTGACTTTGAACTCAGGAATCACTCCTGGCAGTGTTCGGGGAAAATCTGTGGGATGCTGGGGATGGAACCCGGGTCAACTCAGTGGAAGGCAAGACAGAACCCTATCTGCTGTGCTTTCCTCTGACTGATACTTTTTTTTTTGGCTCTGATACTTTAAAAAAATGTTTTTGCCTTTCTTCTTCAAAGAAAACCTAAGCCAGTTTTTTTTTTTTTTTGCTTTTTGGATCATAACCAGCAATGCTCAGGGGTTACTCCTGGAGGAATTACTCCTGGCGGTGCTTGGGGGACCATATGGGAATCGAACCAGGGTCGGCCGCGTGCAAGGCAAACACCCTACCCTCTCCAGCCCCCTAAGCCAGTTTTTATGGTGAGAAAACAGGGGCAGAAGTATCAAGTAACATAGTATGGCCCCAGCTTAGGTGAAGTGCTTTTCCCTTTGGTGTTCTGTGAGACTTGATGGTGGTGAGAGCTAGCTTACTCATTTGGAGCCGTGCTTTATAAAAGTCTGAACCAAGAACAGGTGTAAGAAAATGCAGTTTCCTGAGCCCCTGGGCAGACCTGATGGGTCGACTCTGCAGGGTGGGCCATGTATGTTTGCCTACAGGGTGACTCTCTGCAGTAAGAAATATGGGGGATCATATTTCATTGTTCTCCAAACTCTGAAAAAGCTTCTCAGAGAGAATGTGAATGGGGCTGGAGTGATAGTATAGTATGTAGGGTGCTTACCTTGCATGAAGCTCAACTGGGTTCGATTTCCAGTACCTTATATGAGCCCTGAGTCCCCTGAGCCCTGCCAGAATTAATCCCTG